ACCTGCGTGCCTAGTTACCATTATTAACCCATTGCAGCACATGCTTTCAGCCAGCCTTCTGAAGTGAATTTGAAATGACCTGGACTTTGATTCTCAAAAGGAATTTGTTGTATCTTGGGATGGGCACTTCTGGGTTAAACGTTGCCAAATACCCTGCTGATGTTCTCTGCCTTGACTCGAACATGAAGAATAGACACTTTGGAGAGAAGCTGAGGATGAGTCGTCACCCTCGGGAGAGGAGGAAAGGGAGAGGGAGGCATACAAAGAAGAAATATGTGCATCATAGCTGGGCTTTAAAGGCTGATCACCTTTGGTCGAGTCCTCTTTAAAATTGTATTACGTTAGCTTGCTAACTCTACCAAAAATAGCACATATGGGTTCCTTCCAAAAGAGGAATTAGTTGACCAGGGAATTTTCAGTATCTGGTTTGTAAACTGCTATATAGGTCAATTTCCGTTTTTTTTTCAATATGCTTAGTTCAAACCAATTTCCCTTCTCCTTTCATGGTTGCATAGCCTCAGTGTTATCTTTCCTCTGACCGTGTAATTGGGCAAGGGTTACGCTCCAGTCAGATGTAATTAGGAGAACAACACTGCATTCTCTTACCCCCCCTCCCCGCGCCCCACACGTACACGCACACACCACCATAAATACATTCTGTGAACTCCTGTCCTTACCTACCATGGTGTGGGAGCGTCTATCCTAGTCCCTACCCTGTGCCAGGTAGCAGCAATGCAGTCTCTCCTCATCAGTTCCGTGGCCTGCAGGTATTGATGTCTTCATCCATTTATTATAAAGTATGCATTCATTAAAGAAACTAACCTGTGTTATCCCAGTGCATATTATTGTGCTTTAAATGTTATCTTCTGATGCAGTACTCATTGCTTGTGTTGATCAGACACACAATTGCTACTGATAAGCAGGGCACCGAGATTCCAGAGTTTAGACAGTTTGTCTGCATTTTACCACAGCTCATGGGATAACTGATGATTGGATATGGAATCCTCTGGTTCATTGTTGAAGTCAGGTCGATTTCCTCATGGTGCTTTTACCTGGGGCCTGAAATGACCACTGACACTGACGTCTCGATCCATCCTCACTCCCAGATCTAGTGTTCCACGGGGAGAAGGACTGCTGTCCATAATTCTAGCAAGAATTCAAAATCTGCCATATAAGAAGGGATGAGATAATGTTTGTATCAAAATATTAATTTGGCCCTGAAAAGCCACATGAAATCTAGGGGGTAGTGGTTATGGGCCACCCCGAGTTTATATTGAATGTTAAAAGTGAGAGTGACATGAATGGGTTAAATATGCACATGTTAAATTGTTCGCCCTCACTAATGGCCTCTTGCCTTCCCTGAAGGCATTTGGGACTTCCCTTACTCTTTCCAGCCTTATAGTATTCATGTGCAAACCTTTACAGTGAGTGCCAACAGGTTAATCTAGCACAAGTGGGAATATGACAGCCTGATATCCAAGCATGCACACCTTTCAGCAGGATCTCAGTTTAGCAATTAGTTGTGGGAATAACTGGCTAAATATCCCCTCTAAAATTTAGGAGTTCTTAGGCCAGTTTTTGCACAGTTACAGCTACAGCTCTGTTCAGAGATCATTTTTTTTTAATTCTCCAGAATGAAACTGAGAGATGGGCTGGAAATTCAACCACTCTGAAAGGAACAGGCCAGGTTATACAGAAATGCTTTTTTCCTCAATTGCCTTTACAGATCAGAAAGTGATGGAACAGCCAAACAACATTTGTAATATGTAATTACAACATATCCTTGTTTGGCTGTTCCATGTTGAACTGCATTTTGTAATCCAGGTCCAGAACTGCTGCAGTATTTTGTGAGGAAAAACACCTGCTTCTGCCTATAATTAGTGTAACCGTAAGCAGGGGTGAAAGGTCAGTAGATCTGTGGTGATCTGACTCTTGTTTATGGACCATGTCCATGTAACTCTTTAGATGCACACAAAGGTTCAGGGAGCGGAGAAAACTGATTTGATTCAACAGCCTATGTTTGGGTCCCACTCTCACATCTCTTTTTCCCTTTCCCACGTCGGTTTGCTTTACTCGATCTTGCTTTCAAACACCAGGTGGTGCCTTGCACGGCAGCTGATTTTTCCTTTCTTCCACGTGTGTTGACCGCTTCCTTGACCTTTCCTACTCTTGGCAAGATTCAGAATAGTTACCGCTCTTCCTACATTATATATTGCAGTGTGACCAGCGATGTAAATGAAGCCCTAGAGGGGAAAGCAAACATTCAGATATATTCAACCTGTTTGTTATGTTCGCAAAAATCAATGTGTAGAAAACTCTTTTATTCTCAGATCACAAGTTACAAATCAAACGGTCCAACCCAAAACCCTCTAGCCAGTTCTCCCTGCTTGCTGCTTTTCTGGTTCCTGATCCCCTTTCATTGGTCCTAGTTAATTGGTCCTTATTTTCTTAAAGGGTATCTAACATTGTTGTCCATATGTAACAATGACCAAAATAATGCTGTGTTTCACCATTAAGTACGACAGAAGAAATGTTTAGCATAGTAAGAGATCATTCATCCAATTTTATCGTGCCACTTCCACCCCTACTTATTTTTAAAGTCATCCTTTCCATTAATCCCACTTTCTAATTCCTTTTTCACAATCCCTCGAATTTCGTCCTCTCTGTAGCTAGTCATGCAGATGAAAAGTGCATGAAGTGTTTTCGCAACTTAATTGAGCTTGACAAAATAATTGTAAAAATACTTTGACTTGTTTATTCCTTGAAGACTTCATCAGGTCTGATTTCCTGGAACTGGCTTCCTGTACACTGGCAGCTACCATTTCCCTGGATCTCGACTGGAAAATATTAAAATGTCTAGCACAACAGAATCCATGTAAAAACAGCCTGGCACTGACGTTGAGCTGGCTTGCCATCTGCTAAGACAATCTTAACTTTACTGAGAGAAGCAGTGAAGTGCTGTGGGTTCCACCCACAATGTCAATCTTCCTGTAGAGATTTCAGAGCTGCCAAAACTTCCTTTGGCCGAGAGGTTGCTCTTTTCTCTTTGTCTAATCTTCTCTTGTCTCTCTACATCATTTTGTTCCCATTGATTTGGACTAGATGCTTTCATACTTATTAGAATTCACAGCACAGAAGGAGGCCATTTGACCATCGAGCCTATGCTTGTGCTAGCTCCTCCACATGCTTTTTAAAGCTTTTCATATGATTTATTTTCCAACATTTATTGTATTTCCTTTTAAATGTCATATTGTCTTAGTTGAGTTAGTTAGCCATTTATTAGCATAACAACCACCTCTCATTGCTTTTCTACAAAAGTATTTTTTCAAACTAGTCTTTCCTAAACGATCAAGAATTCTCATCCATCTATACATAAGAACTGTATGTCTAGAAGATTATATATATTATGTAACTGTATAATATCCTGAATAAAATTGGTAATTCACTTCATGGCTGTTTGTGTGCAAATTGTGCTGCCGCGTTTGTCTACAAATATCGTCATTCCATTTCACAGTAAATCATGTGAAGAGTTTGAGTCATCCTACTGACGTGATAAGACGTTATATCAAACACAAGGATTATTATTATTATTAACTGATGCTGTTCCAGTGCATGTCTGTTCACTTTCCGTTTCTACTTGGAGAAAGGGATGGCTAGAAACAGATAGTCCGTAATCAGGTTGACCGGAAGGATTCGTGTGTTCACCATCTGTTTTGTGCAGATGGGAGTAATGAACAAGGAAATAATTTAGTACAAAGCATGACACATCCTTTGTCCAGATGGCCGCAGCTATGCATTATTCCTAAAAGGAGAGGCAGGATTTCAATGACATGCTGGAAAGCTGAATGCCAGTGCACAAACAGTTCATCAGCGAGATGACTTAGACTATCTGCTGAGGGGATGTTTTAGTGAATACATAGCTATAAGGCATTAGGTTCAGCAGCATATAATGTGTTAAAATATTCTGTATCAATAAGCTATTTGGTAATATCGTATAGCATTTTAAGAATCTCCTACTATTTTAAGAATAAGTCATTTATTTCCAATCTTTCTCCAACCAATGTTTTCCCATCCCTTCTCTTTGAATGCAGTGTGAATGTTCTTTCTTTCCTTTTACCTCAACCAGGTAGCTATTATACCACTGTGAGCTTCAATAGTGGGTGTTAGTGGGATAATTAATCCCACGGGAAAGAGAAGAGGCTTCACAGATGAGGCTGATCTTGTCCTCACCCAATGTCTACATACCTGCACTTTTCAGCAGGAGTGTCTGAGTTGCGATCAGGAGGAGAAACCCTGGGTGATCTCCTCCCTAAGTCAGAGGTGCTAAGACCATTGAAGCTCCCCAACTGCAACTTCCACTGAGATCAACCAACTCAGTGCAGAGTCTTGACTTTCTGATCTGAAAAACACCACAAGAGATTATTTTAAGACGTGTTGAATTAAAAACAAAAGGGTTTAATAAAACTTATGTGGTTTAATGAAATCTACGGTCATTGTTTTGCTCACAAAATATACAGTCAATTCACTTCATAGTATATTCTGTGAAAACGTCTCTAAAACATGAGACGATGCTATATCAAATGCAAGGATTATTATTATTGTTGTTCACCTCGGAGCATACAGTAAACTTATCCTGTTCACCTCAATACCTTACCATGTGATTGCATCAGAAACAATAGAATATTCTTCATAATAATAACATTCTTTATAATAATAAAATTTCCATGGTAGTCTTCTTAGAATGGGCTGAAAGACAATCTTCACCTGAACCTCCCTTACAGAGTTTCTACTGCAGATTATTTCCAGAATAACCGTTGAAAACCAGGTAATATATGTGTGGTCATTTAGAAATTGCTAATAGAGATGGGAGTTAACATGAAGATAAGTGTAAACCTTAAAGTGACTGTAAGCTTCCAGCAATGTTTTTGGAAATGTCTTTTTGCAAAAATGTAACTTTATTGTTTATCGATTGCATTATCACCACTTTTTTAAAAACACAGGTTGTGACTCCGATCAGATGTGGCCAGGGTTATATTTACGACTCTCCTTCGAAACAACAGCAAGGAATTTACGATATCCCTCCAGTTCACCAGCAAGGGGTATGTGTCTCACTTACACTGCTGTTTCCTGCCAATCATTAAACCCACACTCTCATCCACGTGAACTTCAACACTGAATGTATGTGATTAAAGGCTGGTTCTCTTTGCGTGCTAAGAGTTACACAGCCAAAATAGCGCAACATTTTTTCTACTGTTGGCTCACAACAGCATTGTTTGGGGCATGTGGTTGATCGTTACAGTTCTCACCTGCCATCCGACAATATCTGAAAAAGGAAAAACAAATGTTTGCCTTTTTCAGGCTAACCTGTTTAGCAAATACCAGATAAATGCTCTCTTTAATGCAACAAGCCTACTAGCTTTGTTTCACACTGCTTTTTCCATATATCTGTGTCCCCGACCAAGCTGATACCAGAAATCCCAGCATCACAAACATGATGAGTTTTGACAAACTCAGTTGAGTTATGAGATGGGAGGTTCCTTCTCTGGAAAACCCTGATAGTCCATAGGCTTCCCAAGCATGCCTATGTATAGTAGTGGCATTAGTGCATTTCACTCACAAGGTATACAGTCAATTCACTAAATTAGAGTATATTCTGTGAAGCACTTGAAGACGTCTCAACTGTGTGATAAGCTGCTATATCAAATTCAAGGATTTTTTTATTCTTGTTGTAGTGTGGGACACAAGCAGTTCATTGACCAGTTCTGCAGATTAAATAAAACATCTGTCTTTGGCAGGAAGTAATGCAGAAAAGACTAAATCGAGCAACAACAACAAAATTACATTTATAGAGCGCCTTTCACGTCGGGAGGACGTCCCAAGGTGCTCGACAGTCAGGGGTCAGGACCCGAGCATGGGGGAGGGGTGGAGTAGGGGTGAGGGAAGGCAGAGAGGTGGGAGGGCGACTGAAGGTACGATCGAAGAGGAGGGTCTTGAGACTGGCATTGAAGGAGGCAAGGGAGGAAGCGAGGCGAAGGGACCGTGGGATGGAGTTCCAGAGTGGGGGGCAGAGAGGCTGAAAGCCCAGCCACCAATGGTAGGTGGGTCGGGCGGGAGATATGGAGCAGGCCGGAGCCCACTGAACGGAGCGAGTGGGCAGGTTGGTAGGGAGTCAGTAGATCAGAGAGGTAGGAGGGGGCAAGGCTATGGATGGCCTTGAAAGTGAGGACGAGGATCTTGAATTCGATCCTCTGAGGGATGGGGAGCCAGTGGAGTCGGGCGAGGGTGGGAATGATGGGGTCACGGAGCCTGATGAGCGGGAGTACAAGAGCTGCAGAGTTTTGGATGATCTGCAGCTTGTGAAGGGAAGAGTTGGAAGGCAGATGAAGAGGGAGCTTCCTTAATCGAGCCTTGATGTGACGAATGTGTGGGTGAGGGTTTCAGCAGCCTGAGGGGTGAGGCAGTGGCAGAGTCTGGCAATGTTGCGGAGGTGGTGGTAGGCAGTGCTGGTCATGGCGCGGATGTGGGGGAGAAAGGACAGTTCAGGGTCAAACAAGACACCCAGGTTCCTGACTGGCTTAGTGAGGTTGAGTGTGCAGCCGTGGAGGCTGATGCTGCCAGCGCCTGAGGTGCGGAGGCACTGGCGTGAGCCAATCAAGAGGGCCTCGGTCTTGCTGGCGTTGAATTGGAGAAAGTTGTCCCTCGTCCAGGACTTGATGTCAGATAGGCAGTCGGTCAGGAAGCCAGTAGTCCTGGAGTTGAGGGTGGAAATTTACCCCATGTCTGCGGATGATGTCACCAAGTAGAGGGTGAAGAGGAGGGGACCAAGGACAAAGCCCTGAGGAACACTGCACGAGACGGTGCGGGGGCTGAAGGAGAAGCCGTTTGCTGCGACGAAGTAGAGGCGGTGTGAAAGGAAGGACCTGAACCAATCAAGGACAGAACCTTGAAGGTTGAAGTGGGAGGAGAGGTGGTGGAGGAGGATTAAGTGGTCCACAGTAACAAAGGCGGCGGAGAGGTTGAGGAGGCAGAGGGAGCCCTGGTCACACATGGTCAGGATGTCATTTGTGATGTTGAGCAGAGCAGTTTCTGTGCTGTGGGCAGCACAGAAACCCGATTGGAGTGGGAGGAGAGGAAAGAGCGAAGCTGGGAGGCAACGGCTCTCTCAAGGACCTTAGACAGAAAAGGGAGGTTGGAGATGGGCCGGTAGCTGGATAACTGTGTTGGGTCAAGGGAAGGGTTCTTCAAGGTGGGGGTGATAGTGGCTGTTTTAAGGAGGAAAGGAACAGTGCCAGATGACAGGGAGAGGTTAATGATCTTGGCAAGTTGTGGGACAAGGAGGTGGAGCTGGGATTTAAGGAGAGGGGTGGGGATGGGATCCAGGGAGCAGGTGGTGAGCTTCATGACAGATATGGTGGTGATGACAGAGCTGGGAGTGACAGGTTCAAAGGTGTGGAAGGAGGGAGGGGTAGTGATCGGAGTGTGGGGGGGGACGGTAGGGAGGGGGTGGAAGTTGGGAGGGCAGTGGCTGTTGAGTGGATTCCCTCGATTTTGGACTCGGAGGAAAGAATCTGCGAAGCGTGTCAGGGAGGGCGGAGGAGTCGGATGGTGGTGGAGAACAGGAGCCTGGGGTTGCCCTTCGCCTCCAGGATTAACCTGGAATAGAAGGATGACTTGGCCAAGGCGAGAGCGGAGCAGTAGATCTTGATGAGGTCCAGCCAGATGTGTCGGTGGACCATTAGGTCGGATTTGAGCCACGTGCGTTCGACAGCCCGCACCAGACCCTTGAGCGAGTGGAGGTGGCTAGTGAACCAGGGTGACGATCAGGTGTAGGAGGCAGTTCAGAAGGTGAGGGGGGCATTGAGTGCGGTGGAGAGGGTGCTGTAGAGGAGAGTAGACACAGAGGTTGGGTCAGAGGAGGTGGAGTTCAGAGGACTCCAAGGCAGCGGAGAGGGATTGCGGGGAGATCTTCTTCCATGGGTGGTAGAAGATGGGGGTAGGTTTAGAGGCAGTGGGGAGAGGAATATATGACCTTGTCTGTGAGGGTGACATCCGAGACACTGAGGCTCCGGGTGATCACCAGGTCGAGCGGGTGGGTGTGGGCGTAGCAGAGTGGATGTGGAGGGAGAGGTTGAGAGAGGGGAGGAGAGAGGAGAAGTATGAGGAGCCTTCAGCTCCCCTCTCGACTCTCTTCCCCCTTCTCGCTCCCTCTCATCCCTCCCCTCACCCTGACCATTTCCCCCCTCCTCGCTCCCTCCCCTCCCCTGACCATTTCCCCCCTGCTCGGGTCATGACCCAACTGTGCAGCGCCTTGGGACGTCCTCCTGACGTGAAAGGCGCTTTATAAATGGAATCTTGTTGTTGTTGTTGTTGTTGAGGTGGATCAGTAGGGGGTGAAGTGGAGGTTGAAGTCACCTAGGATGATGAGGTGGTCGGAGCAGAGGCAGAGGGAAGCTAGAAGGGCTAGAAAACTTAGAGGAAAAAGGAATTATCATCCCATTATTGCGATGCCTGGAATTGATATTTACTGTTGTTTTGGATTGCTTTATGATTTATTTCTGTTCTACATTCACAGCTGTATGATTTACCTCCTTCAATGTCGAAAGGACTCATGAATCAGAAGCATGCACGTGAACGCAGAGCACAAGGCGTGTATGATATTCCTTCTGGCTTAGGGAAGGAGCATCGAGAAGTAAGTATTTACTATACGGTGCCAGATAAGCTGTCTGGGATATTTATCTTGGAAGTTATGTTTTTTTAATCACTGAGAGTTCAAATGGTAACTAGAATATAAGGATCCCTACGTTTATTACTCCGAAATCTCTGATTTTTATTTTGCCTATTAAAATTAATCATTTTGTTATCCATTACTCCTCATCTTTATGGCTAATTGGGGATAACTGAAGCAGGGTTAGATCAGCTAACTTAAGACCACAATTGTAATTGAAGCCTTCAATTCCAGTGTGTGGTGAGTTAGCTGATGTCAGTGGGGACAGCAGTTTGTGTGTTGTAAATGGCCTGTGAGTTGGGTAGTGAATAATCAGCCGGGGCTCCTGATGGTTTAGAGATGTGTGTTTATGGACGTCACGGTGAGGACTAGTTGGGTCCTGTCTCTGAACTGTAAACATTATATTTTTTGACTGTTTGCAGGTGTATGATATTCCACCCACGGCTTGCAAGGAAGCAAATTACGACTTTCCACCACCTCTGAGACAGGCCACAGATTCTCAGAAACATTATAAATCTGAAGGGCTTTATGACATTCCTCCGCCAGCTGCCAAATCGGCTTCACCACTTCAGTCAGCCCACACACGAGTTGGGCTCAGCTCTCCCAACCGGTCTATTTATGATGTCCCGCCAACAGCGGTTAATACTATGTCCAGTACAAAAAGACAAGGCATCTATGATATCCCACCAGTTTACCAGCAGACCTCACAGAAGGACGTCTACGACATTCCCCGAGGATTGCTCGACTCTGGGCAGAATGCAGGGACTGAAATGTCGAAACCAGCAGTAGGAAATGGGATCTATGACGTTCCCCCACAGGTCTCGCAGGATGTTAAGGGCATGCTAGACGTAACTGATGGGATGAACCGATTGTCATTTTCCAGCACAGGCAGCACGAGAAGCAACATGTCGACATCTTCAACAACATCCAAGGAATCCTCTCTTTCAGCCTCTCCCCTGCCAGAGAAAAAGCTCTTGTTGGATGTAGACTCTGCCTTTGAGAAGCTAACTTGCCTGCAGCATGGTGTGGAATCCTCCATCTCAGCCCTCATGGCATTTGTTGTTCCTGACTGGCGATCCCATGAACTCAGGGAGAAGCACGTCAGCGAAATCCACGCAAGCGCTGACAAAGTAAAACAGTCACTATCGGGGTTCATCGGCTTCGCCCAGGGAGCCACAGCCAATGCGTCTGGTCTGTCAGACACTGTTCTTCACAACAAGTTAAGGAAACAGTTACAACGCTTGGATGACTCCTACCAGATTCTAATGCAGACCAGCCAAGCACTGGATAGCAAGAACTGGGCTTTGAACATGTTGGGAATTAACAAGCTTCACAATAAGTGTGATGACTTGGACCGCTTTGTCATGGTGACAAAGACTGTTCCAGACGATGTGAAACAGTTAGCATCTTCTATAAGTGCAAATGCCGAATATTTATTCAAACAGGGGATTGGAATTATGAATTTAGAGACTGTTCATGAAACCACCACAGCGAACATTGGTGGAGACAGTCGTACGAACCGTAACCATACAAATTCACATGGGGGAAAGACACTGATTAAAATACAGCCTTTGTTGCATACTCCCTCACAACTGGATCACGAGGCCCACATTAGCAGCAAAGAGACCGTGGATAAAAGTTGGATGGAAGATTATGATTATGTCCATTTACAGGTTAGCATTCTAACCATCTACCCTTGCTTCTACCTTTTAATTTGCTTAACAAATATGTCAATGAAAATTGTTGGTCTTTTCACTTGATTTCTCCTTTGGGATTCTAATCATTCCTACTCAAAAGTTCAGCTTTGCAATTACAGGGATGTAGATTCTGATTCAATATGTGTTAGTAAACATATGACCAATTGAAGCATGGTAGTATTGTCCTGAACCACTGCAATGACTCAACCTGACCTAGGACATTCACTTACCATAAGCTTTAACCAGAAGCTTTAATGTAAATTCACTGTTAATATTGCATCTTATTGAAATTGCTAAAAAAAACTATGAATTACGTTTCAGTCTTACCCATATCTTCTGAGTGGAAAGGCTGACAGAACGAGAAAGAACTCGTAAAAGATATATGTCTTAGATGCTGTTGAAGATGCAAATATATTTTAGAATGGTTAGAAAAACACTCTGCTCTCCTAGTCTCCTAATGTTATCCTCAGGGTATAAAATAGAAGAAGATGAATATTCATTTCTTAATTTTATCAAATAGTGGCCGAGGCGGCAGGGGGCAGGGTGGGGGTGGTTGACTGGGCATCTGATGTAGGCATGCAGAACACACACCCTATACATTAAGAGTCTCCAATTCCAGCTGTTAAAAAGGTACAAAATCAGAGTTTCTGTCTGTCAGGGCTAGAGTGCACAATCATCTGCTTGATGATGTGCAGTCTATGTAATTCTGTGTGAATATGTAATTAATCAAGGTAGGGGGATGTTTTACTGGACAGCTTACACCATATGGGCTGTGCCAGGGCAGGCTGTGTTTTAGGATAAGTATTTCCTGCTGTGCAGGAAGGTTGATTGCAAATCTGAGTTTTAAGTAAACTTTGACTAACAAGAGACAAAGGGTAGTTAAGCTGCTCTATACAGTCAAGGTAGTGAATTCATTGATGTACACAACTCCCCGATGTGCATCATTATCAGGTTTCGTACCCTAAAATAATGCTAAAGCAATTGAACCTAACAGGTAATATTGAATCCCCAACGTAAGAATAGATAAATATTATTGCATTTTACAAAGGCACAAATTTATTAAAGTTAAGATTTATTGTATATCAGTGAATTCACTACCTGGAACACATGGAACAGTGCATCCCAAAGAGACACTGATACTGTCCATATTGTACTTTTTTTTTTGCTGAACGCAAATTTGTTTAGGGAGACTTTAAAAGTGGGGGACCGTCTGTGAGACCAAAATATTTTTTGAAAAACATATGAGTGTTTCCAATTCATCATTTTCTCATTTTCTCCCCCATTGTCTTTCTCTGTTCCGGAGATCCACGGGCGCTGGTTCCTCTCTGGTATCCTGCCCTCATTCACATGTCAGTCTTGCTAATGAGTGTCGGTAGGCACTCGACTGAAGAGGGCACCTCAGCTAACCGTGACCTTGTCTCACTCTGCTGTCACATGTACACACAACCTGGAGAGGAACCAGGACTAGCTTTCCCCTTACTAACCCCAGGAGGGCCAGGCCAATTTGACCTCCTCACGCAACCCCAGGAGAGAGTGCTAAAACTCAGCATTGACTGGGCTTCGAATCAGCAAGCTTCTGGTCTGTCACCTGTAGCTCTGTCTACTACACCATCGGGGCTGCCCCCAAAGTTTTCTTCCGTATATAATTTGCTATGTATCATTTTCACTTTTTGAGTGCTTAATATTCTCACTGTTTAATATTAAAGGGGAAAGACGAATTTGAGAGACAACAAAAGGAACTTTTGGAAAAAGGAAATATTGTCAAACAGAACAAGATACAATTGGAACAACATCAGGTAGGTTTGCTTGAGTATGTATGTGTTTTATGGTGTCTCTATGTGCTATCTGTCTGTGTGTGGTCTATGGTGTCTGTATGCGCTGTCTGTGTGTGTGTGTCTGGTTTATGGTGTCTGTGTGTCCTGTCTATCTGTGTGTGTGGATTATGCTATCTGCTCTTGCTTAACTATTTGGCCTCTATGTGGTGTATGCTGGCCTCAACCACCCTTTCATAGGATTACACTGCACAGAAGTAGGCCATTCGGCCCATCATGTGTGTGTACTCACTTTTAAAGCCCTGCATGGTCTTACTCCACCTTATCTCTGAAGCCTCCTAAAACCATACCAAACTGTCCACTCCCTTTGCTCAGTGGATACTGGCCTGTTCCACATCCCCCCACCACCTCCGCCCACCCTCTCCACAATTGGAAGTCTGTCCTTTAGCCTTTTCTGTACCCAGCCTCTGGAACTCAATCCTGGAGCTCCTCCACCTTGCTCCCTCCCTTGCCTACTGCAAGGCCCATCTCAAGATCTTCCTCTTCGACCGCACCTTTGGTCATCTTCCCACCACCACCTAGCCCTCCATCCCTCTTGATTCCAATCCGCAGCTCAGGTGCAATCGCTTGGCTGTCCATTGCCTTGGAACATCCTCCTGACATAAAAGGCACTATATAAATTTTATTTGTTCTTGTTGTTTCGTGTGTAAGTGCTGATATTCAGTCTCTACTAGCACATACCTATGCACCACAGGTTCCATTAACATATTATGCCTTTTTAAGTATCGCCCTTTAACATCCACTTTATTTTCAGTGATGCTTCAGGTCACCCTCCTCAGATCTCCCCACGTCTAGTTCAGGTGCTCAGTCAGCTGTGTGAGGTGGCAGATCCACCAGACAAAATAAATTGTAAATTATCATTGTTGTTGTTGTTCCAGATCTGATATGATAATGCCTACTTTTGTGTTTCAGCTAAACCAGTTCCAGGAACTGGAGAAGGAGGTCATTAAGCCAGTGGAGAATGATCTGTCAAACTGGAACGCTCCAAAGCATATTCCCCACGACAGCAGCAGCCTCAGTGTTCATGACAAACAACTCCTTTTCTTCTACTCGGAGCAGTGCGAGACCCACTTTGTGACGCTCCTCAATGCCATTGATGCCTTCTTCAACTCCATCAGTGCTGGCCAGCCACCCAGGATCTTCGTGGCTCATAGCAAGTTCATTATCCTCAGCGCCCACAAGCTTGTTTTTATAGGGGACACGCTATCAAGGCAAGCCATGGCCCAAGACATCCGGAATAAAGTTTTAAACTATAGCAACCTCCTCTGTGAACTCCTTAAAAACATTGTCACGGCCACCAAGGTGGCTGCCTTACATTATCCCCATACAGCGACAGTGCAGGAGATGGTCGACCGAGTCACCGAACTTTCCCATCACGCTCACCAGTTTAGGAACCTGCTGCTGCAGTTGGCATCTTTATGAAGTAACATTGTGATTGCACAGTCAAGTTCCGCAGTGTTCTTTGGAAGAAATCAAACTGCTGTGTTAATAGATGAACGCTCGTGCTCTCCAAGTTTTGTCCCTGTGTAGAATGTTTTTGTACATGTATGTGTCTTTTTGACTGAAACCATTTGTCATTTATTGGATGAAAAGGAATGTAGCATGTGGTACTGCGGAGTCTGGATCTTAACATTCACTTAAATTTACTTTAGATTGTACGTTGTTGCCTCTTCGTACTGGAGTAAATTCTGTGATCAATGCTACACACCTAACATTGTCTTCATATAACCATCTACGAGTAGAAACAGATGTAGATTTATATACATTTCAGAGCTTTCAAAGCAGAAAACTAACATTTTTTCCAGTTGCAGTGTTATTGGGAACAGTCATATTTACAATTAAATGGAGAAAACCAGGAATGTCATTAAAATGGGCTCAATCTAAACAGGGGAGAGAAAGATATGATTAATTGAGTCAGAAAAATTAAGCTGTAATATTTAAACCTCCAATCAATCTACCTTTTCATTTTAAGCCTGTGTGGTTTCTCTGATGGCCAAGTGGTTAAAAGCATTACTGGGTTGTGCAGACCAAAACATTCATGGGTTGGATTTCCAGTGTGTGCTTCTCTCTGCCAGGTGTTGCATTTAACCTCCGTGCCCCCAATTTAAGAAGGGCAAATAAGCCTGGGTTCCCAATCATTACCCACTTCTGCTGGAAAATTTGCTTATGTGGAGGCTGGGTGAAGATAGGATACCAGAGACACAATTTAAGTGCCTTTCGCATTGGGAACATCTCAAAGCACTTCACATGAGTGGCCTGGCTCCCAAGCCGGGGTTGGGAGGGGAGCTGGAGAGAAGATGACTGAAAGATGCCTCTTGATGTCAGGATAGACTCAAGCGCTCTACCCTGTGTGAGGGGTGCTATATAAATGCAAGTTGTTGTAGGATAGGCTGCCATTCTTGCTCTCCTGCATGAAACATGACCCTTTAGGTGAGATACCAGAAAGCGCCAGCGCCCACGGAATCGTAAAAGTAAAGTAAAGAGAGTTTTCCTTTGAGACAAGACAGAGGGAGCAATAATAAGATGAAGAATTAGACTCACAATCTGTAAAATATGTAAACTCTCATTCAATAACAGTTGGGTTAGCAAAAAAGCACTTCACTACTTTGTATTTGAACAATTGCTTACAGATTTATATAGCCACTCCTGTACATGAACATGTATTTTTTTCTGTTTAATCACTAGTATTTCATACTTGGTAATTTATTTTGTTCTATGATGATCTTATTTACTACTTAGTCTCATTTTTACAGTAGAGCTTATCTAAAGTTGGAGCGCGATATTAAAACACAGGACTCCACAATAAACAGATTTAATATGTAGGGGAAAGAGTACTAACAATTACTGACAAAAAAGTATCACTATTTAAAAGTTTCAATGTTCTGAATATGTCTTCAACAATTACCCAACATATGAACTGATAGGCTCCAACACACACACACATCTACATAATGGCAAATATGTGTATTGTGAATGATGGTGTTGCAGAATACCTTTCAAGTCCTTGCAGAGGTGGTATGTTTGCAATATTCAGGAAGTATGTTGGTAACATTGTGTGACTTACACAAAGACCCCACAACACTGTTAGAATCAGGAATCTCCTGCTTATTACTGCCTACTGCAGAGACATTCGCGGAGTCTGAATTTTTTACAGTGCACCTCCGCCAAGGCTTTAATTCCAATTCATGTTTTTTGTGTTTTGATGGTAAAATAATAAACGAAAGAGTATGATTTGGGGAGACTGTATAGTGAGAAGGTGAACTTTTAATCCAATGTAAGTCATTATTAATGATGACAAAGTTGCAAATATCCTTTGATCAGACATTCTGAATGTTAACATTCTGTCGTATCATTCCCGTAATCCAGTGTAAAAGTTTTTATATATACTGTATATACCGTCAATAAGATTAAATGGTTTTGATACTACTTTGGGAAACGCAATTTACTTTTGTAAGGAAGAATGGCACAAGTTTAAACGGACTGAATATGAGCTGACCAAACCTGTATTTTATTATGGAGAAAAAAATATTTGTAATCATTAAATTGTAAAACATTGTTTTCAAATGGAAAGGTGTGAAGGTGACTCCAGATATGAAAATGTGCTTCGCATCATAACAGGGTTGCAGCTGTTTCCTCTGTCACACTTTAAACCTATTTAAACCTATTAAAATAAAAAACAAAAATTTAAAAAATATATATAATTTTTTTAAAAAAGGAGGAATATTTTGAAATATTCACTAAGTTTAAAATCAGGCCCAGGGTTTTGCAAGCATCACGTTCCAATATTATGTTAATCAAGACTTATAGTTTCCTCATATCAGCAATATTCAACCAAACTCAAGATGATAATAATCCTTGCATTTGATATAGCGCCGGATCATGTCTTCAAAATGTCTCAAAGCGCTTCACAACACATTGTGAAGTGAACTGACGGTATATTTTGTGGGCAAAACGCAGCAGCCAATTGCGCACAGCAGTGTCCAACAAACAATCGTGGATTGAGTGACATTTTATTTTTAAGGGATTATTACCCACCAATCGATTCACCAATCAACTAACAACCAGATTCCTACTTACTGTTAGGTAAACATAGGCATGTGGGGTAAGGAAACTTGCCCACCATTTCGCTCTGCCGGGAATTGAACCCAGGTCCTCTCACTTGCGAGGCAAGTGCTCTGCCCACTAAACTACAGAACTCCACTGAGACTAAGCACCTCAGACGGCAAGCTAGACTGGGACAATATGTGGTGGAGCACCAAGCATTGCACAGTGAGAACTACAGAGAGCGGGAAGTATAGTTGCACATAGTGGGTTCAGAAGGGGGTGGCTCGAGGTGTAGCCTCAAATGTGTATTCAAATGAATTACATGCTGCATAGATTAAACCAGTAAAATTGTCTAAATATATTAATTCAGTGGTCATTTACTATAATGCTGTTTGATATAGTATGATGACCAATTTTAAATGTTTATTAGTTTTGAATCCTTCAACAAGGGAAGAGAAAAAATCGGACAAAATTCGTTGTAACATATGATTCAACAGATTATTTGCTAAAAAGCCCTATGGGCATGTGAAAGATAAGCGACAGCAAACCCCCAGATTTGGACTTTCCCCCTATCTGAGTAATATTTTGTCTACTGCAAGGATTCGTATTTGTATTTTAGGTACCTACAGAAAACCATCAAGTTACCGTTAAGACTGAATTCAATAATTTGACAAATTCTGGGTGACTTAATATATTATATAAAGAGAGTAAATCTTCCCCAAAGTTATGCCTTAGGTATCGAGCATACGGCAAATTATATTTATTCTACATGCAGCATTTTTACAATTTTACTCTCGTCCTTGCACTTTATATAGCACCTTATCATGTTGAAATATCTCACAGTAATTCCTGTAATTTGTAATAACTGTATACTTGTAAGTGAGCTGGGTAGACAATTTGAACATGGCAAATTGCGCAGTAATTTAATTGGGGGATTAATCTATCAGGACACCAGGAGAAACTCCCTTCTCTTTTCAGATAATGTCATGGATTCTTTAGCAGACTGAAACTTTGGTTTAACTTCTTATCTGACACTGGAGTGTCAACCTAGACCAGGGGTGGGCAATTATTTTGGCTGGCGGGCCACTTTACGAATTTTGGTAATCTTCGTGGGCCACACACTTAATATAAACGTAAATGGTTAATAATAGCTCAAAATCAAGTCTTACATTTGTACATGCATAAAATAAAGTTTATATAATTGATATTCATTAAAATTAGGTTAAATAAAAACAACTCATTGAGCAGACATTTGTTTGATATTTATTCATTTATTCACATATTGATGAGAATGTGAGAAGCTCATTCAATGGGAAGAATGATGTTGGTTAACCAGACAATTGAAGTCAGGCATCGTCTCCGTTGTTGCAATGCGGAGTACTGCTGCAAGGTGGTCATCAGTCATCACAGATCTATGTTTTGATTTATTGAATTTCATCACAGAAAATGTCTTCTCGCATAATAATAATAATCCTTGCATTTGATATAGTGCTTTTTACGTCTTCTAGATGTCTCAAAGTACTTCACAGAATAGACTGTAAAGTGAATTGACTATGTTTTTTGTGGGCGAAATGCGGCAGCCAATTGTGCACAACATTCTCCAGGCATGAGCCTTTATTTTTGGAAAGATATATTCATTAAGAGAGGCATGAAAACTGGGAAGCAGCACTGATTTGAATTGCTCCACAAGCAATGGATCACATTGCTGGTCCATAAGCTTGAGTTGGAGGTCAAATGGGGCTTCGTCAACATCAAATGCGAAAGGTGAAGAGACCAAAGACACGTCATTTTCGATCAAATTGAAATCCTAGAATCGGCGAGAAAATTCGGCATGTAAGTATACTTTTTAAGGCTTTGATTGCAAACAGTAATCTGTTGCAAAGTTGGAAAGCAGATGAACAGCCTGTTTCTTATCTAACGCGATAAAATAAATAATTTTGTCATAAATGACTTGACACTGCAATACAAATCGTGCACAAAAGCCCCCTTCCGTTGCAGTTTTGAATTCAATTCATTCACGTGGCCCATGATATCAACGGCAAATGTGAAATCAGAGAGCCAGTTCGCAACATTCAGCTGTGGGAAATCCGAATCTTTTTATTTCATGCCCAAAAATCAATCAATCTCTGTTCTCAGTTCCCCCACTCTTTACAAGACCTTTCCTAAACGAAGCCATCTTACATTCTGTGATACAGAACATCCGTGTGCTCGGATTCCAGTTCCTCAAGCAGAGTTACAAATTGCCTGCGGTTTAATCCTCTTGCTCGAAAGTAGTTGACCACTTTCGTAACTGTGTCCACGACATTGCTTGGTTTTAGACCACTCTTACACCTCTTGGTGGATAATGCAGTGTAGAAAAACAATATTCTGTTCTGGATTTGTTTCTTTGACTTGATCTTGAATTCTTTTCAGTAACCCAACATTTTTGCCTGTCAGATTTGGGCTTCCATCAGTGGTCACATTCACCAATTTTTTTCCACTCCACTCCTAATTTTAAGATACACTTATTTACTGCCTCCAAAAAGTCTTCTCCAGTTGTCGTATCTTTCATTGACTGCATTGATGCCAATTCTTCTGTAAGCTCAAAATGTTTGGTGATACCTCGAATAAAAATTATCAACTGGGCTGTGTCTTTGACATCACAACTCTCATCGAGTGCCAGTGAAAACTGCTTACTTTGTTTTGTACCTGCACATTGTTTTTATTTTCTTTATTTTATTTTTTAATTTATATTTATTTTGTTTATTTTATTTGTTTTATTTTCCACCCACAATGATAAAAAAAAATTTAGAAGTCCATTCTTTTTTGAATATTCGGCCTTCAGCATCCACTTTCCGCCTCTTTGATAAACTCATTTTGAATTAACGTCCTCTTCAGTGTAAAGTATTGCTGTGGTTGCCGTGGGCGTGTTTGAAAATTTGCTGATCCGTACATTTCTGACATCAGCCTAATTCAGCACAACTAAGCACAACTAAGCAGTGCGATTGGCTGATGTTCCTGGTTTGATTCAAATACAAAATTTGTGTGACTTTCTAGGACTGAACAAACTATAATTTTTTCTATTGCTAAACACAATGACGGGCCAGATAGAATCATTTGGCGGGCCGAATATGGTCCCCGGCCGTCTTTTGCCCACCCCTGGCCTAGACCATGAGCTCAAAGTCCTTGAATTGGGACTTGAACACAAAACCTTCTGCCTCAGAGAAAGCAACCTGACAAGAATAGTGTACCTGTTTGTGTCATAAAAGTGGTGAGATTCACAATCCTTTTCATTTTGTTTTTGGTAATATTCTCTTGGTATTAAAAGATGGAAATCAATATTTAGGAAAAAATACTGAGGGAAACTATATATTCTTCGGAACAGTTGACCGGTATCAGTAGTTAAACTTTTTGTGTTTAAAATATTCCAGTCTGTTGTTATTGGGTGGCTCCCTATTCTTACTAGGTGACCTTTTATACTATGGATCACAGATCCATTACATGGTTTACAGTGTGGTTCAGCAGAAATAGCTTCATGCTGTAATGGGAAGACAGCAGAGTGGGTAGTCTGGAAGAATGAGATTACATAGACCAGCTTGGTCACTTCCAATCCTTTTTTGTAGAGATCTGAGGTCTCAGGCTCAATCGTTAACCTATGCTACATTAGATCTTTTAATTATTCTCTGTGAAGGGGGGAGGTAAGCGTGTTCTCCTTGGAGCTCAACTGTCTCCAAAATTACATATTTCGCAATGGAATTTCACAATAAAACAACTTGCATTTATATAGCGCCCTTCACACAGGGTAGGGTCCCGGAGCACTTAAAGCAAGCCAACCCTCCGTTGCAGTCGCAGTAGTCCAGTTCCCGAGCCAGGCAGGTCCACAAAGAGAATACACATTCTATGTCAGACACGTGGGAATCTCCATGTGTAGGTGGCATACGTCTGTGAAACTCTCAGTCTGGTTTCAATACTCGTGATGGGTTGGGAATTTCAGACACCCAGTTTCATCAAATCAAACACCGCCATATAAAACGATGGTTGCTTGATTCTTTAAAATGATACATGAATCACTACAGTACTATCAGAACGAGTCATCTGTAATGTCATCCTTTGAAAATCAGGCCCATTGTCTGGAATGCTACTGAAATCCCTTAAGGAGAGGCATTTTGAAACCTTCTGTTCAGAAAAACATACCCTGCAAGGCATTGGCCGTTGTTGTACAAGCAATGTGAGCTCCCATTGAATTACTGTAAAGACAGCTGATTAACCTATTCCAGTCATCTCCACAGACAGGAAACACCCTCAAAACAACTAACATGAGTGCTGTAGAACTTATCAGCAGCGTTAGCACTGCTACTGATAATAATCTTTGCATTTGAAATAGTGACTTATCACATAGTTGAAACATTTCAAAGAGCTTCACAGAATTTACTGTAATGCGCAGTGACTATATTTGCCAAGTACATGGGACAGATGTATAAAGCAATTTTTACTCAACGACATTGCACGCTTTGCTTTTAAAAATGCAAATGTTTAGTCTTTTGTTTTAGTCCAA